GTGAGGGCGGCGTCGGCTGTTTGAATGGCTAGGACCTTCACCATCCCAGGAGGTCCCATAGGAGCGAGAACCACTAGTGCTTGAAGGAAGAAGTTCAGGCTGCACTGAAAGCAGAATCCATGAACAAGGCTCCAGGAATTGCCGGCGAAGCAAATGTTTCCACAAGCCGGTGAAGCAGTGGGAGCACTGGTTTATGCCAGGGAATTGGGAAGATGGCTACTTGGCCAACTGACTGGAAGAAGCCATATTTGTACTGATTCCAAAGAAAGGTGACACGCCCCACACAGAATGGTCAGAAGAAAGTAAGATTTTGTTGAAGGTCACCCAACAAGGAAGACTTGAAGCTTTGCTGATGAAAATCAGTCGAGTACTTCAACTTGGATTGCAACCCAGTGTCACGACCAAAATCCTCACATCTGGACCTATAGGTGATGACATCATGATAAACGGAGAAAAGGTTGAAATTGCCAAGATTTTGTCTTGTTTGGATCCACATTCATTGCTCATGGAAGCAGCGGTCAAGAGATCAGAAGACACTGTATTAAGTAAATCTGCTGCACAAGTCTTCTTTAGAATGTTGAAAAGCAGAGAGGTTACTTTGAGGACTAACATGTGCCTGACACAAGGCATGCACTTTTCAGTTGCTTCATATGCATGTGAAAGTTAGCCATTGAAGAAGGAAGACCAAATAAGAACGGATGCATCTGAATTATGGTTAGGGGAAGAAAATTGAATGGCAGTCCGATGGACTGTAAAGAACCCACAAAAAAATCTGTCTTGGAAGAACTGAGGCCAGAGTGCTCCTGAGAGGCGAGTGTGGCCAGACTTCGTTTTACATACTTTGGACATGTCAGGAGAGACCAGTCCCTGGAGAAGGGCATTATGTTTGGTAAAGTGGAGGGGCTGTCAAAGAGGAAGGCCTTCGATGACATGGATTGATGGAGTGGCTGCATCAACAGGCTCCGGCATGAGCACAACTGTGAAGATAGTGCAGGACTCAGCGTTTTGTTGTGCACAGGGTAGCCATGGGTCAGTGGCACCTACAATGTGAACAGGGTTTTACCCTAGCTAACATAGCCCTAGCATGCTAGCTTCACTCGTGAAATGGCTGTACATTCATCCCCATGGGGAAGGCTGAGTGAAAGACTACAGTATAACTTTTTGACCTTGGAATAGAGACCTTAAGCAGACTTAGACTGCCTACCATTCAGTGACAGGTGCTTTGTGTGAACACTTGGCCTGGACATTCAGGGCCCATGACTAGTATTCATGGTGGACTTCTGTTTAATTGATACTTCTATCAAGTACACTTTTGATGTACTACACATCTGTGTTCCTTTTGTGATTCCATGTTCTGCCCCAGGTCATCTCTTAGGCATTTAAGTGTCAGGGTAGAGAATAAATTCAATTCCAGAAAACCCAGAACCAATTCCAAAAACATCTTTAAGGTCTGTTCCACTGGGCCTATGTCCAATACCAAAATCTTTGCCAAGGCTTACCCAGAAAAACGGGGGGAAATTACTTATTGAAAGGAATTGGTTGTGGGGCTCTCTAGACATGCCTTAAGTCCATAGGCTAGACCATCAGGGAGGGCACCCTGGAGCTTCCTAGCAGGAGTTGATGCTGCTGCCGAAGGAGAGACATTGCTAGGGAAGCCGTATGGTCTGTTCTTGACCGCTTCCATTTGGATGGATCAGATCTCCATTACCTAAGATGATCTCTCCCTTATGCTTGGGGAAGGCTACTGAGTTTAGAAAGCTTTGATGGCAGGAGAACATGGGAGATAATGTCCTGGGTCATTTTACTGTTGACTGTGCTTGACACAAGATTGCTGTGGTAGGGCTTTGGAGATGGGCTCCTGAGTTAAGTGGACTCGGGTTTGAATCCCTGCTTGGCCAGGTAAATTAGGAGGCTAGTTCGTCACCATTTCAAAGCATAGGGTAACCCTACAGGCAATAATACTGTTTAAAGTTCCCAACCAGTTGTTATGGAAGAAGGCAATAATGCATTTTATATATAGTATGTCTGTATATGTATATATGTATACTCAAAGGGCTATACTAGGTAGGTAAGTAGGTAGGTTCTGAGTTCACATAAATGTTTTCAGGACAAGAGACCACTACTGGGGGTAAAAGGAGCTAGTGCTTTTGTTTAGACTGAAGAAAAGTTGATGTTGTATAAGATTCTCATCCATTCTCATTCCATCTATGAAAGAAAAACAACACTGCATCTGACTCAGCAGTCTTACAGGACAGGGTAGAATTGCACCTGTGGGTTTCTTAGACTAACTTCTGGTAGAAGTGGGCAGCCTCATCTCTTCAGAGCTTTTCATTCATGGTTAGAGGTCTAGTGTTTAACCCACCACTGCTCTGTCCATGTCTTAGAAATCATGATAGTTATTTGAAGCACCTGGTGGCTTCGTGGTTAATTGCATGGCTGCTTACCCAAAGGCTAGCCTTTGGAGCGCACCTGGAGAAAGCGCTGGGGACAGCCCACAACCTTGGGGGTTAGGGACTTTTCCAGAGCAGCAGAGGTACACATAGGCTCTCTCAGGTCTGGCAGCACTAAGAATCCGGCTTTGATGCCGCAGAATTTCAGATAATGAGGTGAAAGGGTTTGAATAATTTAAATACTGTGTAAATCATTATATGTCAACATCCGTTACATGATTGCTGGCTAATCAAATGGTTTTGTTTTTATTCAGGATGGATGCAACCTTGAAGGAACTGACAAGTTTAGTAAAAGAGGTTTACCCAGAAGCTAGAAAGAAGGGCACGCACTTCAATTTTGCGATTGTTTTCACAGACCTGAAAAGACCGGGCTATCGGTAGGTGCCTTTTCATTTGTAGGCAGAGTCCTGCGTTACCAGCAGTGCTGCTGCGGGCGTCAGAACAGGGCTTTGCCTTAGTGGGTTAAGCTCTTGACTGAACAGAAAGCGCCCATAAGGATTCAGCACTACCAAAACCCTAGGGAGCAAGCAGTTCCACCCAGCTCTGTAGAGTCACTACTTCGGTAGCATTAAAAGGAAAGTACACATTCTCCTTAAGTAAGACTTTCTTCACCTGGGGACTGCCTTTAATTTCTGTTGTTTCTTTTTATTTGGGGTATGTTGAAACTCGTGTGGGCAATCATGTTAATCCCTGTAGGGAAGAGAAGAAAAGATTAATCCTAATATCTAGTTTAGCTTAATCTGTGAGGTGCCGAGTCAGTTTGACTCCTGGCAGCAGCTGTTTACCACAAAGCCACTCGTCCCCTCTCCCCAACCTCCCCAAATCCACGACAGTACAAAACTGCCTGGTCCGGTGCCAGCCTCGCAACTATAACGTTTGAGCCCATTTCTCAGCCACTCTGTGAATCCATCTCACAAAAGGGGGTCCCCCTCGCTGAGACACGGTTATCAGACATGCTCTTCTCCAGCAAGTGCTTTCCAAAGGCCGGGAGAGCAGTCTCACCACCCTGGCTTTTCTAAGGTGCGTCCTGACAGGACGACTTAGAAGACTGGTTGGTCCGTTCTGGCAGCCTGCGGGATCATCAGTATTCTTCCGGAATACCATAGTTGAGTGGCCTGTTCTTCTCTTCCGTTTCCCTTTTCCACTGCCCAGCTTTCACACGCATTTGAGGACACTGAGATGCTGTGACTTGAGCCAGGCACACCTTAGTCCGAAAGGTGACACCTGGGCTTCTGAACACTTTTCAGAGAGAGGCGGGCTTAATGCAGCACTTCACACTTTTGACTGCGCTCTAAGATGGTGATTGGGCAAATCTACTTCCTTATTTGCTTTGCCAGTTGGTATCACATATTACCTCCTTTCTGATCTGTTATCTGTTTGCTTCCTGTCTTACAGAGTCAAGGAAATTGGCAGCACCATGTCAGGCAGGAAGGGGACCGACGATTCCATGACCCTGCAATCACAGAAGTTCCAAATAGGGGATTATCTGGACATCGCAATCACCCCTCCCAACCGGGCACCCCCTCCCTCTGGGCGCATGAGGCCATATTAAAGCTTCTCTGCTGTTTTGAATGTATTTTCCAGTCAGTTATGTAAAGTAAACCTAACTCTGCCTCCTTTGATTATTGCCATTAAGCCTTTAAACTTTGAACAACTTGTCATGCTTCTATTTAGGTTAGATTTGGCTGTGTTCTGGGATGACCATTGATTCAAAGTCCATGTTGTTTCAAGCTCTCCTGTAAAATATGAAGAAAAGTGCTCTTAGCATTGTGTAAAACTGCATTGTGAAATAAATGTGTGCAATTGACCCAGGTCTGCATGTTAATTGGAGTACTGGGAAGAGGATTTAATATCTGGGCATTATGCTAAGTGATGTGCAAGGTGTCTAAGCTTTAATGGAGAATAAGAAAGCCACAACCCCATCCCCTGCCATCAGATTGATTCTCACTCATCCCAAGCCTATTGGCCTAGTGACTTTCCTATGTTCTAAGTCTATGGGACCCAAATGAAAGCCTCATCTGAATCAGGAGTGGTTGGTGGATTTGAAATACTAATCTTGCAGTTAGAGGTCCACTTTATAACCTACTGCACCACCCCAGTAGCTTTTTCCCTATGCCCCTTTTGCACTTCTTTTTAAGCTTACCTCAGTAGACTCATGTAGCACTTGTCCTTTTGTGCTTGACTTACTTCGCTTTTAGCAGGCTTTGTTTTTTGTCATGGCTTTTTGTTTCCTTTTGTGGCTTTGTTTTGCTGTCTTGTTTTTGTGCGTATCTCTGCAAGTCTATTTAGATAAGATAGGTGGGATGAACAATCTGGAGGAGAAAAAAACGGGACTGATGGTTCAGGGCGTGGGTGGTGGGTGAAAGGAAGTGGTGTTAAACCCAGGGATAAAGGAACAAATGATCCAAAATCAATGGCGAGGAGGGTGTAAGGCCTGGTAGGGCTTGATCAAGGGCAATGTAACAGGAATTAAACTCAAATGCAGGCTGAGCATGATGGTGGGACAAGGGAAAGTGAAATGAAATAGGAAAGAGCTAGGAGGCAAAGGGCATTTATAGAGGTCTAAATAAAGGCATGTACATAGGTAAATATATGAGGTTGGGGAAATAGACCTATGTGTATATATTTACAGGTTTAGTGTTAAGGTAGCAGATGGACATTGGGTCTCCACTCAAGCACTCCATCAGTGCAAGACTACTTTCTTCTATTAAACGCCTTCTCTGATGCTCACCTTCCCCACACAATTGCTGAGGACAAAGTGGGCGAATAAGCAAATGTGGTGAAGAAAGCTGATGGTGCCCAGCTATCAAAAGAAAACGTGGCCACAGAGTTGGGGCTCTGTAAAAACCCTCCCTCCAACAAAACTTTTTAAGAAGCAGAGAAGACTCAGACCTGAGTTCTAACCCACTCCAAAAGAACAGAAACCTCTCCCAGAGGTGATTACTCTTAAGAGAGTTTGTGAACCTCAATATCTGCAGACCCAGGGGGCAAAAAGACATCACTTGCCAGTCCACCTACTCAAAAGGGAGAAATTTAAGTAAACCCAGGTGTCTGCTATCAGCAGATCCAGCTCAGGCAGTGAGCAGGCAATGTCTTGGATAATCTATCCCTGTGTGCGTCAGTTGTATCGGTCATTAGCCCGCACTCACTGAAAGCTCAGGAGTTCTCAAGATTGGGATCTTGACGGGCACAATTTAACTGTTTCCTGCTGTCAATCCCAGCTTGGGACAGGTTTGTGTCACCTGACCTAACCACCCTGGACGCTCCAGGATCTACAACAGGTGTGTGGGGATTGCTGTTTGTTCCGGAGACAAATATAAAAATACCACGTCTCAATGATGAGGGCAATGAGTGTACAAATGTGCTTTACACAACTGATGTATGTATGAATTGTGATAAGAGTTGTATGAGCCCCTAATAAAATGATAAAAATAAGAAAATAAAAAAAAACCACGTCTCAGGACCAGGAGCCAACCTCTGTGCACACGTGAAAACAAGAAAAAGTGGTACAACTGAGTGGCGCGCACACACAGATGTGGAAACATAGGAGGTCTTGGAAGAAGACATAGCCTTTGATCTTCCTATGAGGACATTTAGGAGAATGATCTTCATCTGCCTTACATGAATGGAGGAAAAACACAGAGAAATACAGGAAAGAAAAAAAAACCAAACCCAAAAAACTGTAGAGAAGAACGAACGCAGGAAAGCACCCCAAGAGCAATCTGACAAAACCAATGAAGAACTAGGAATAATTCAATTCAAAAAAACAACTCCAAATAGAAATTCAAAAGGCAAATTAGAAATGGGTAACCTATTGAAAGGATAAGACAGAGGAACTGAGATAATGGAAATACAAATCAGTGTTCTCATAGATCTCTTGAGACCAAAATACAAAATACACGATCAAACTATAAAAAAGTACCCAAAAGTTCAGGAAAAACCTAAGAATTCTATTGGACACTATCAAAAGTAACACTTTATATTTGATAAGCATCCCAGAACGAAAAAGGAAAATTAACCAGAGAAAATAGTCAAAGCATTAAAAGAGAACTTCCCTAACATGACAGAACAGAAAAGTAACTATCCAAGAAGCCTGAGAATCCCAAACAAATGATTGAAAAGAAAATCACTCCTATATATCATAGTCAAACTTTCCAACATGAAAGAAAGGGAAAGAGCATCACAGAGGAAAAGAGAACATACAACGGTGAGCCAATAAGAATAAGCTCAGAGTTTTCTGTGGAAATCATGCCAACAAGAAAGTAATGGATCCACCTATTAAAACACTTCAAAGAAAAAAATCTGCCAACCAAGAATCTTACAGCGAGCAAATTTATCTCTCAAATATGAGGGGGAAATAAAATCATTCTCATACTACAGGGATTTATAAAAACTAGACCAATCCTATCAAAAATACTAAAGGGAATTCTTTGGACAGAGAATCAACCACAGACAGCAGCCTAAAATTATTAGACAAGATATTATTGTCAAGACATCATCCTGCCTAAATAATACACAAAATGGAACAAAACCATAGGATTCAAAATAAAGAGCTACAGATAATATTCCACAAAGAAGACAGCAAGAACTTAATAGGGTGGACAGAGTAGTTATTAGTCGAACAAAGAAGATTCTGAGTCGTTCATAAAAAGACTACAAACTCTCTAAAACTTGGAACTAAACAAACCAAAATTTAACCTTAAAGAAAATACCAACAACAAAAATGAAAATTACAAAATCCTTTTAAACAGTAAGATAGATGAGGGGCCGGCCCCAATCCCAACTACATGAACAGCTGCCCCTCCCCCCAGAAGAATTTACTTCAGAGGACAGCATTGAAGCTGCAGCTCAGGGAGAGGGGCATGTCTGATTAGAGCACATGGGAGCAAATGAAGGGGGAGGAAGAGAGAGTGGAGCACATCCTGACCACCAAGCCTCGATGATGATATTCCCGCTCAAAGCAGCCAATCCACAGAGACCATATGGCCAGCCCCACTATGAGACATGATATCCCTCATTGACCCATAGCCCTACAGCAGACAACACTGTAGACACAGTGTGGGAATTGCACACGATCTGATCCCACCACACCGAGGCAAAACACTAA